AAAATATAAACAACAACAAAGTCTCTATATGCACAGAGGAAGGTTTTATTTTTAAAGCTAAGCATGAACTATTTACAAACCCCTTAGCTAAGTCATGCCCCCCGTCCCTCCTGTCAAATGATGTAATAAATTCAATAATGAAGTGAAGGAATGTGGGCTTCTATACAGACATGAGCCAGTGTGGCAAGAAGATGGAACAAGACATTGGGCAGAGAAGATCAGAGGGACCTGAGGCAACGCATTGGATCTCAGGAAAAGGATATCTCAGAGGAAAAACCAAATGAAAAGTTAACACTGGAAAAAACTTGAGGCCTGGGGGATACCAAGGCATCCCACATTCTCAGAGGATGAGGGAGGGGCAGACTGTGTGATGGGCATGGGGGTGGGAGATGAAGTGACCAGCTTGTAAAGTGAACAAATAAATAATTAATGGAATAAAAAAGAACTTGAGTCCATGGAACATCGAAGCCTGTCAAAAAGCCACAGTGTGCAATGTTTTCATGTCAATTAGACATTTGAACCCTGGTACTTAATGACATGCAGTATCATCATTACACAGGGATACAATTCAGGCTGGCCACATCCTTACACAAGTGGAGTGCCTCCTCCTAAAAACAGTCAACTTGATAGAACTTTACAGAATACTCACCCCCATCTTTTTCCATATTTTTGGGAGCACTCCATGTCAAATTTCCATAAACCCTGAAAAGAGAAATAGCATGAAATCCATTATTGTCCTGTCTGTACTGAGCCTTCTATAGCCACAACAGCAAAACCATCAGATCCCATGAAGTCAGGCTTATTGTCTCTGACACAGAAGAGCTATTATTCAGAGATATTTGATGTGTCAAGAGCAGGATGCTTCAGTGGGAAAGGGCAGAATGAGAGAACAGGACACATGACACCGTCCTGTGGCTTCTGCATACTGACTCACAGACATAGTCATGTACACAGACAACACATACTCTCCACACATACACTAATGATGATGATGATGGTGATGATGATGATGATGATCAACACAATTGTGTTAAAGAATGTGCAAGGTAAGCACAGATCCTGCTGTTAGAATATCCTGAGCAGACAGCAGCTCAAGCTTTGCCACTCAGCCTCTAGGTGTGAGCTTGGGAATGACTGTCTGGGGGACTGACCATGGGCCAGGTATCAAAGCAGGTTAGTCACAGTCACCTAGACTTAGAGCCTACATGGCACATTACATTCTCATTTCTCAATTTTCTAATAATTTAGTTAAATCATCTTTTCCCTTGTGGCTTTCCTTTTAACAAATCTTTAAAAGAAAAGAAAAGGAAAAACTCATTCTTTAGGTAAGGGCCTAAGGTAAGGCAACCATTAAAGGCAACCATCATCCTGTCTCACATATTCTCACTTGCTACTCAAACTCATGCATTAGATTTCTGCCTTTAAAGGAAGAGAGGTGGCTGTAGGTACATTTCAGCAGCTACAGTAGAGCAGTTTGCCTAGCAAGTGCAATCTCATCCTCAGCACCAGAAAAAAAAAAAAAAAGCCCAGAACCTACACTATGTCACTAAGCCTAGAGCACTGGTTGACCTTACAGAGGGTCCAAGTTCAATTCCCTAAACCCACATCCTGCATCTCACCTCCATCTCTAACTCAAGCTCCAGAGAATCCACTGCCCTCTTCTGTCCTTCGTAGGTACTACACTCACGTGAACAAAAACACACATACACCCACATACACCTAAAAGCTTTCTACATGAAGCAGTCACTAACCAGGGCCCCAGTACCTAAAAGAATCGAGAAGCTAAATGCTCTAAGTCTGAAGAACCCAAACATGAATAGTACGTGCTGGGTCTGATACCATACAAAAATCTTCATGGGTTCAAAGATTAAGCAGAGAACTCAAGTACAAAAAAAAGCTTCACAAATGTGTGGGGTGGGGGACAGTGATAAGCTGATGCTTCAGAAATATTCAGAATAAAGAACAATAAAGACACACATAAGACTTAATACAAAGAGAATTTTAATCCAGCAAATAAAGATTGGTGTCCTAGAAGTTGGAAACCCCTTCAAGATTCTCTTCAAATAACTACAGCAGTGCCTTCACGAACTCTACACTGAGCAAGAAAAAACTCTTCCTTTATTGCTCACAAGATCAATATTAAGATTGAATGAGATGGAGATCTAGGCATTTTACTCAGGGTGAATTTCAATACACTGACATTAGGGCCAGTGAGATGATTCTGAGTGAAATGTAACTTCCCATTAAGCCTGATAACCTGAGCTCTATTCTTAAGACTAAGATTTTGGCAAAAGCAGACTGACTCCAACAAACTGACCTCTGACTGACACATGCCTGCTGGAGCAAATACACACCCTCAGCCAAAAATAAATAAATAAATAAATAAATAAATAAATAAATAAATAAATAAATGGTGAGGAGACAATAGGAGCTATGGGGATGCTTCAGTGGGAAAAGCACCCTTTAAAAACCAGAATTTGACTCTGAATATCTGTGTAAATGTGTGGCAGGAGGTAATAGAACCTCCTATTTTACAAAAATCAGAGACAGTTTGCAAAAGTCAGAGACAAGGAACCCCGAGAGCAAGCTGTCTAGATAAGCTAGTCAAGTCAGAGAAAGCCAGGTCAAAGTGAGAGACTCTGTCTCAAAGGGTGAAGGGCAGAGCAATGAGGAAGATACACAGGGTCAACCTCTGAACTTTCATATACACACGAATACATGCATATGCACTTTCACACACATATAGACATACATACAAATTTCTATATACATACTATAAAAATATACACACAGCATCCATATACACACACATGTACATGCATATGCCCCTGCACACACATATAGACATACATGCAAATGCCTATATACATACTATAAAAATGTACACATATACAAATATCTTATTAAATTTTATATGGCAAAAGGAGCCCCAGAAAATCCTTGAACAATGTTAGGAATCAAGAGAACACACATTATGAGGTCCTGATGTCTGAGGGTTCCCATATTAAGAGAATTTAATAGAACTATGACATTATTGGCCACAAGCAGAAGCCATATCGAAAGTTTAATCAATACTCACCTTGTAGTAATTAAGCAAAGTGCCTAAAAAAGGCAGAGGTGTGGGCCCAGGAATTCCCTGTTTCTTAAAATGTCCATGTGTATGGGTCCCATACCTATAAAAGGAAACAGAAAGACTTGTGGCCATGTACACAGAAGAGAAGAGACAAGCAAGACCATCATCAAAAACTGAAATAAACCAACACTTTTCTCTCCTCTCCAGTTCCCAGAGAGCTTTGGGAATGGTGAGGGGCCAGTTTTCATGTCAGACAATTGCAGGTATCCATGTATGCTGAGTTCTCATGGATCTAGGGATAACCAAAACTAAGTTCAGTCATACCTAGCATAAGTAATATCATTAAACTATTGGGGGGTGTTTATGTGCACTGTGCATTCAATTGCTGATTTCTGTACCCAGAGATCCAGTTACAGAGCTCTGGTTCAGACTTTGATATTGTCATCATCATGAAGCATCTCCTGAGTCAGTATTTTGTAAAACATTGTTCTCCACCATCTTCTGATTGGTCCAATGAAGGGTACAACAACTTATACCTGGGCAAGAGAGAAAAAGATGGGACTTCAGTGCCCATAGAGAGAGGGTGGGGATCTCAGGTGGGACCTGGGGAGCCAACAATCTGGACACAAAGAAGAAGGAGGTGTCAGAGCTAGACTACAATGACATGTAACAGGCAACAGGGTAGTGAAGTAGGCTGGAAAGTAGGCCAGGTCAGCATTGTCGGGTAAGAATACCCCAGAATCTGGACAGCTTAGTGCCTAAAGCACAGAGATGAGATAGAGATAGAGATAGATAGAGATAGAGATAGAGATAGAGATAGAGATAGAGATAGAGATAGAGATAGAGATAGAGAGGTGGAGGTGGAGGTGGAGGTGGAGGTGGAGGTAGAGGTAGAGGTAGAGGTAGAGGTAGAGGTAGAGGTAGAGGTAGAGATGATATAGATAGAGATGATTTAGACATAGATATAGATATCTATGTCATTATAGAAAACAAGGGCAGGTATAGAACACATCATACATTTACAATAAACTTCCAAAGAGAGAGTTGAAGAAGGGTGCGGGTTGGGGTGCCCAGCAGATCTGCATAATGTCAGTATGAACATTTATAAGAGTTAGTACTGGGACCATAGCTCAGAAGTAAAGAGTTTGCCTAGCATATATAGGCAAAACATAAAAATGCAAAATTAATTCAGTTTGTCATTTCATTTTGGGCCTTCAAGATGACTTCACAAGTAAAGGCACTAGCTGATAATGTTGATAATTGAGTTTAGTCTTTAGGAACTCTCTCAAAAGTTGTCTTCTGACTCCCCCCCCCACACACACACACAGTAGCATATGCTTCCCCTAACCACAATAAACACATAAAATTTTGAAAACTTTTTGCAAGAGGTAATTTCACATTCTGCTATCTATTGGAGGAGGTGTTGGGTTCTATGTGTTCAGATACTGGTTTCTGTACCCTGAGACTTGAGACAGTCCAGACATGGGCAATGTCATGAGTACTGAAAATCTCCATTATCAATGTAGTGTAAAGAATACTTCCCATTTAACTATGCTTGGTTAATAAAAGATTGAACAGCAAATGGTTGGGCAGAGAAGAAGAAGTTTGTGGGCAACAAGGCAGGTGAGGGTTCAGGAGAATAAAAACCATGAGGCAGGTAGAGAAATAAGTTCGCCATGAGGTCAGGCCTGAGAAGGAGTCACCAAGGGAGCTCACCATGAGGACAAACATGGAACAGAGCAAGCCAGGGAAAGAGTCACGCTGCAAGTGAAATGGGTCCTATGGATAGGATGTACATAGCTTTATGGGTTAGAATATGTTAGAACCTGGCCAATCATAGTGCTTAAAGCCTGCTAATAAACTCAATAGGTCTCTGTCTCAATTATTTAGGAGTTAGCCAGGTTAAAAAAAAACTGCCACCTTTAAATATCATCCTAGATGTACCTGTGGAAGGTGTCCAATTCCCTGAAACTGTAGTTACAGATGATTCTGAGCTGTGTGTGTGGATGTAGGGGGTTCAAATTGGGGTTCTCTGAAAAAGCAGCCAGTGTACTTAATCACTGAGCCATCATCTGTCCAGTCTGATTCTGATATCATTTTGATCCTCCCAATAATAACAGAATAGAGATCCGAGTATCACCTTAATCCTGAGGAACTGTGGGGGTCACTCACCAGTAGAGGAGCACCAGGCTGATTGCCAGGAGGACGCAGGTTTCTAGTGAGAGAGCTGAAAACAGGTCCATCCCTGCTTGTCTCTCAGCAATTTATTCCTCTGTGTTCTGCCTCCAGCTGTGTGTGTGATCCTCTGCAGGGCTTCCTTTCTGCCCACTCTGCTGCACTGTGGCCAGTCTGCAGTACTTATATGCTGGGAAGATGGGTGGCACCAGGGATCTAGCCAGTAGCTGGATCACCTCTGCATCACCTGGACTTTGGTACTCTCTTCCCCTAGACAGTTCAAAAAGGTCATCAAAAGCCTATTTTGATCCCCGTTGAGCTAACATTATGTGTACCATCAGTAAACAATAGTGCCATATGGGTACAGCCAAGGGTTCTTGGCAGAGATAAGAGTAGAGAGTAGAGGAAGGGGAATCAGAAGTTCAAAGCCACATAGAGTGTTTGGCATCAGCTTTGGTTATGAGACCATGTCTACAAAAAAAATATTCTACTACATCTATATACCAAAATTCAACACCTGCCATCCCTTGACTATGGTGCAGGGAGAAAGAGACAGGTCCTAACAATCATTGCTGAGAGAACTATACTCACTTGTGATCCACCGGTGATGGTGATCCACAGGCTCTAATGGATGGTTTCAAACACACAGTCACACACATGGCACTAGATAAAGTCTTTAGAACATAAAAAAAAAATCATGAATATGGGAAGAAGATTTTCAGGGAAGAACTGGGGGTGACAGGGGTGGGGTAAGAAAGAGAATGAAATTTAACAAAAATGTGTGCTCACACATAAAGTTGTAAGACAGACAGACAGAGACAGAGAGACAGAGAGAGGCAGAGAGAGAGGTAGGGAAAGGGAGGGAGAGGGAGAGAAAGACATTGATTTAATAAAAAATAGCTATTGAACTGTAGAGAGCCACACTCAAACATTAGGGGACGCACAAAGAGACCTGTGGAAGACTTGGGGATAGGATTAAGTGAACCAGAGGGATCAAGGACGCCACAAGAAGATGTACAGTGTCAACGAACCTGGAACCATGGACCTGGCAGACACTGAGACACCAAACAAAGAGCATGCAGGGGCTGGATCTAGGGCTCCTACACATTCATAGCAGTTGTGCAGCTTGGTCTCCATGAGGGTCCCCTGACAACTGTAGCAACAACTGCCTCTGACTCTGTTGCCTACCATTGGATCCCCTTCCCCTATTGGACTTACTGATAGGTCCTCAGAGGGAAAGGATGCATCTAGTCCTGTGAGACTTGATGACCCAAGGAAGATACCCAAGGAAGGGCTTCACCTTCCCTGAGGAGAAGAGGGAAGAGTAACGGGGTAGAGTGACTAGCCCACTCCCAATACTTTTGATTCTGTGGATAAAATACACAAACACTGCTCCATTACCTTTAGAAATTGCCTCTAGGCACAATTGCTGAATGCAGATACCTACTGCCTGGAAAGGTGTGCCCTTAACATTTTGTTATCTCTGTCTCTCTCACAGCCCTGAACTTAGTGGCTTGCATCAGCTAGGCCTTGCCAACATTCTTGGGACCCAACTGTAGCAGAGGCCACAGGCCCTACCTGTCCCAAGATCTTACATGACTGCTGCTTTCTACTCATTCCAAAGTAAGGCAGAAAAGACATCAATCTCTTTCTTTGCAGTTCCTTTTCCTCTTGGGACCTGGAAGTCCTACCTGGACCTTCCTTTCAGCAATTAGCCCCCTGTCCTTTTTATTGACAAGTCAAGAACCAATTGAGGAACAAAACTTTACACATAAGACCTCCATGTACACCTATCTATGGAATATGTTCCACTAACTGGGCTGCATTGTCTGGTCTCAGTGGGAGAATAGTGCCTAGTCCTGCAGAGACTTGATGTACCAGGGTGGGGAGATACAAAGGGGGGCCTCCACCCTCTCAGAAAAGAAGGGGAGGGGAAATGGGAGAGTGATTGGAGTAGAGGACCAGGAGGGAGACAGTGACCAGGCTGTAAAGTGAATACATGAATTACTTAATGAGAGGAAAAGAAACCAAAGAAAAAAGCAAGTACCACCACCACCATCTAGAGGTCCACAGCTACTTTTAACCCTAGTTCCAATGGATCCCTTTTCTGGCTTCTGCAAGTAAGGCATGCACACACACACACAAAAACACACACACACACACAAACACACACACAATGAGCCTTTAAAAAGAAAAAAATTCATGTCTATCTAGAATTCTGGAAAGAATATGATAGTGAACAACTGTTTGTGTATTTGTGCACATTAAACTATTAGATTTTGTCAACCTAATAAAAATATTCTCCAAAAATGTTTCTAAAAATTCTTTTTATTTTTTTACATTTCTTGAGAATGTCATATAAGAGTACTGTATTTACATCATTTGCACCACCCTATGTCCCCTCTCCGACTTCCCCTGTTACCCCACCATTCTCAACTACATACACATATATATGCCAAGTCCATTTACTGCTGCTTGTGTGTACTGCTGCTTGTGTGACCACTTGCATGTTGTCAACTCACAGCCCACAAGCCACACGCACCCAGAGTCACTCTGAATGCGGCCCAATACAAAACCATAAACTTATTTTAAAACATTTTAAGCTCAGGGGTTGACGTGGAAATCAAGTTTGTGGTCTCTGGCATAAGTTTTGTACATAACAGCACTTTGTCACAATGTCGAACACTCAACTGTGTGACCATTTCATCATTCACATATCCAACTTTGTTCTCTGGAATAAAACTTTACAAAAATGATACATTACTTTAGAATAGAGTCCCTCAGTTGACATTTTCCTGTTGAAACTTGTCTTTCTTTCAGAAGACCCACTTGTGCACTTCACAGTAAACAAGAGGCAAAGTTTGAAGGTAACTGAAGAAAATAAATCTTTGTTCAACCTCCCCATAAAACTCAATGAATGTCAAGGGTAGCAAGGTTCATTTACAAGGATCAAGTGAGTTCACATGTTAGCGCTCTAGAACGCTGAGACACAGGCTTCCTCAATCACAGAATAAATCTGCTGCTAAATGTCAATAAACACCAATCGCTTTGTGTATTTTGTTTGAATTACATTTATTGTGTATTGGAAGGGCAAGCCACGGTGTGGGTGAGGAGGTCAAAGGACAATGTTGAGGAGCTAGTTCTTAATTTTCACTATGTGTTATCCAGGGACACACTTAAAGCCCTGTATGTATTATGGCAGTAAGTATCTTTACCCACAGAGAAACTACCCTCACCCTTTTGTTTCTTTGGTTGGTTGGTTGGTTGGTTGGTTGGTTGGTTGGTTGCTTGGTTAGTTGGTTGGTTAGTTGGTTTGGTTTGATTTGGCTTAGTTTGGTTTGGTTTTTGAGACAGGGTTCCTCTGTGTTGCCCTGGCTATTCTAGAACTCTCTCTCTCTGTAGACCAGATCTCAAACTGAGAGATCCACCTGCCTATGTCTCCAGAGAACAGTAATTAAAAGACAAGTGTCAAAACAGGCTTGCTTCCCACCCTTTTTTTAATGTGGCTGGCAGAATTATGCTATAATCTGGTTAGCTTTGAGTGTCAATTTGGAACAGCCTATAGTTACCAGAGAAAGAAACCTTAGTAAAGGGACTGTACACAATCATATCAGCCTGAGGAAATGTCATGAATAAATTATCTTGATTACTAATTAATTTATTAAGGTCCAACCAGTTTGGGGAGATTTCCTTCCCTAGGCGGACAGCCATAGGCTACATAAGAAAGCCAACTATACATGAGCCTAAGAACTCTAGTAAGCAACAAGCTCACTCCTCTATGGCTTCTGCTTGAAATTCCTACTTGAGTTGCTGCCCTGACTTCCTCAGGGATGGGCTCTAACTTATCATTCCCTGATCTGTAACCTGTAGTGGGCCTTGGGAGCTAGATCCATGAACCTGGCCATGCCACCTTTTACTAGGTAGAACAGTGAACCTGTTGGCCAGTTAACCCTTCTGAAATGAGTTCACTTCGGAAAGAACAAGTTATAGAGTAACATCAAATTGGCTAATAGGTTTTCTTTATCAACAAGATAAGATATGAAAGCTAAACAGATGGCTCAGCAGTTAAAAGCACCTGCCATTCTTGCAGAGGACCTGATATGGCTCTTAGAACCCACAATGGTGGGTCACAATCATTTGTAACTCCAGTTCCAGGGAACCAAATATCCTCTCTGATATCTACTGTACTGTGCACAGATATGATGCATTTACAAATGAAAAACTGAAACATTCCCTAGCTGGTCTGCTCCCAAGAAGACACCATATCTTGACCCATCCTAGAAAAACTACTGTACTCAGAGCAGGGGAGAATCCACTATACTCAGAGAAGTTGCAGAAGCTGAACTCTCAGGAGCTCTAACACACCCAGGATCATTGGATTTCAGGATCTCAGAGACAGCATGAATCCCAGGAGCTCTTCCACCTGGGGGCTCAGGATCACAGGATCACAGAGACTCTGTGGAGTTCTGACACAAGCAAGATAACAGGAGAGACAGGCTACAGTCAGGTACAGTGAGGGCAGGTAGCACTAGAGATAACCAGACAGTGAAAGGCAAGCCCAGGAACATAAGAAACAGAAACCAAGGTTACCTGGAATCATGAGAACCCAGTTCTCCCACCATAGAAAACCCTGGACACCCCATCACACCAGAAAAGCAAGACTCAGATTTAAAATCACTTCTCATGATGATGATAAGGAATTTAAGAAGGACATGAATACATCCCATAAAAAAAAATACAGGATAGCATAGGTAAACAGTAGAAGGCCTTAAAGAGGAATCACAAAAATCCCTTAAAGAATTGCAAGAAAACACAACCAAACAGATGAAGGAATTAAACAAAACAATTCAGGATCTACAAATGGAAGTAGAAACAATAAAGAAATCTCAAAGGGAAACTATCCTGAATAGAAAACCTAGGAAAGAGATCAGGAGTCATAGATAAAAGTATCACAAACAGGATACGAGACATAGAAGAGAGAATCTCAGGTGCAGAAGATACCATGGAAAACATTGGCACAACTTTCAAAGAAAATGAAAAATTCGAAAAGATCCTAACCAAAAACATCCAGGATATCCAGATCACAATGAGAAGACCAAACCTAGGGATAATAGGTATAGATGAGAGTGAAGATTCCCAACTTTTGGTCCAATAAATATCTTCAACAAAATTATAGGAGAAAACTTTCCTAACCTAAAGAAAGAGATGCCCATGAACATACAAGAAGCCTACAGAACTTCAAATAGATTAGATGAGAAAAGAAATTCCTC